TGTGAATATGTGTTAAACTGTAATGTATTTCTGTGATGCGCAGCTGTATTTTCAGCATCATTACTCCAGTCTTCAGTGTCACATGATCTTCAGAAATCAGTATAATATGCTGATCTGCTGCTCAAGAAACATTTCTGATTATTATCAATGTTGAAAACAGTCGTGCTGCACAATATTTTTGTGGAAACTGTGATGCATTTTGTTTTTCAGGATTCTTTGATTAATAGAAAGTTCAAATAAATTAATGACTAAATAAAATAAATAAATTATAAATGTATTTATTAAATATAATTAACTATTTATTTAGTCATTTATTAATTGGTTATTTATGATGCAGCTAAACAAATAAAATACTTATAATTTTTTCTTTATTTTAATTTAACATTTAATGTTTTATTAATTCAACTCGCATCAAAATCCCACTTTATCTCATTTTCACTCAGAAATTGTTAGTAAATTGCACAATTAATTGTAGCAAGTAACGATGAATTAAAACATTTTGAAGTTGAAAGACTGAAAATGCATTTTCTTGTAATGTATTAAAATATTATTTGCTTTATGACTTTTATGAAAGAACAGCAATTATTTAAAATAGAAATCTTTTGAAAGATTATAAATGTTTCCTGACACTTTTGATCAATTTAATGCATCTGCATTTTAATATAAATTCTACAATTGTTTTATAAATTATAAAGTAATAAAAGGATTATAATCTTACTGACACCAAACTTTTGAATGGTAGTGCATATTTGACCAGAATAAAACACTAGTGATGGAATAAATCAGCTGCTCATAGAGGAGCATCAGGCTGTTTCTGGATGCAGATGTGATGCACTTCACATCAGGAACTAAAAACCCCTTCAGTGTCTCAAATATATGAAGCTCAGCTGCTGGAGACAATCAGAGAGAATTAGACAGGTGCGTTCATGAAGAAGTGTGAGTGTTTATACCTGTTGTGATGCTCTGGGGGGTTCCTTACTGGGGTCTTAACCTTAAATCTGAGCAAAAGCACTGGTGACTTAAACATGGCTTAATCAAACACCGCTGTCAGAGCAAATCCATGTGTTTATGGTGCTCGTGTTTAATTCACAATAATGCTGTAGTAGGTTTCTACACTACACTACAGCTGAAGACGGAGGAGGAACCTCTGAGAGATCTGAGAGAAACCATGTTAATATTTCAGCAGTTTCTGCTCCAGGATCAGTGTGTGACGAGAACATCAGATCAGATCAGATGAGCTGAATTATTCCTGAAGTTCACTGGGGAGCCAATCAAGAGCATCACCGCAACACACACACACACAAACACTCTCTCACACACACTCTCATACACACACACACACACATGTCTGGTCAGCTATCCTTGTGGGGACTCTCCATAGGCGTAATGGTTTTTCTACTGTACAGACCGTATATTCTATTGCCCTACACCAACTCTACCCCTAAACCTACCCCTCACAGGAGACTTTGTGCTATTTCAGATTTAAAAAAAACTTCATTCTGTTTGATTTATTAGCTTGTATACCCGTGGGGACCACAATTTAGGTCCCCACCGTGACACGAGTCCCCATGAGTCTGTGTGTATTCAGGTTTAACTCCCCACCAGGATATATAAACCTGTACACACACACACACGCACGCACGCACGCACGCACACACACACACACACGCACAATAATTCTGTTTATATAAATGTAAAAAAAAAAAAAAAATTAAATTGCATCAATTTTAAGGTACATTATTATTATTATTTAATTTAAAAAAAAATTTGCAGAGTGGAGACAACGCAACAGCAAGCATACGCAAACAGAGAGAATCAGTCCACCCAGTTCTCCCAGAGAAAAAAGAAGACAGGATGACAAAAATGGACATTCAAGTGACATCCAGAAAAGAAAAGACTCTCTAAAAAGACGTAGACTGGAAACAATGCGTGCCATTGAGCAGATCGAGAAACTTTGGGAAGGAACTAAGCAAGAGAGGACTGAGATAGACAACATGAGACAGAGGATTCAGCGACAGCAAGATGAGATAGTCAGGATGACCACAGAGAAAAGACAACTTGAGAGAACTATTACTCACATGAAAGCCGAGATGGACGACATCTGCGAAAGAATGGATCGTAATAAAGAAGAGGTAAATAGAGAGAGGGAGAGGACTGAGCAAATGAGATCTGATCTCCAAACTGAGCAAACCACCCTAGAGCAAATGCGTGATGAAATCATCAGAGAGAGACAGAACTTGGAGATGATCAGATATGAGACTCTGAGACAGAAGGAGGAGCTGGAGAGCAACCGTGAAAGCACAAAGTACGAGTTGGAACGAATGGAACAAATGAAAAGTGCCATACAAGTTCAGATCAATGAGATAGAGATGAAGATTGAGGAAACACAGAAAGCAAAGTGTCAGATGGAGCAGATGAAAGCTGAAATAGAGGAGGAGAAAAGCGAGTTGGAGAGAAAGAAGTATGACATCAAGAGGCAAAGAGACCAGTTTGAGCAGATTAAAGTTGACATACAGCAAGTAAAGATGGAAATGGAGCAAAGGTGGCATGAAACAGAGAAAGAAGGGCTGGAACAGAGAGCTATAATCCAAAGAGAGAAAGATGAGCTGAAATACCTGCAAGACGAGATTCAAAGAGCAAGAGAAGAGGTTGAAAGAAACAGAGTGTTTTCAAAACAAGAGAATGAGAGAATAAACCAGCTGAGCGCTCAAGCGCTTACAGAAAGCAACCTCATTGAAAAGAAATGGCAAGATATCTTATTAAAAGAAAAGGATCTGGAAGAGATGAAATATGAAATTGAGAGAGGTCGAGAGGAGTTGGTAATGAATGGAGAGCTGGTCAAAAAGGAATGGGAAAAGATCGGACAGGCCAAAGTGGACATACAAAATCACATGATATCTATGGATACCAGAGTTGAGGAAATAAAAAGAGAAACTGATAGGGTGAAACATATGAACATAGAGATGCAGAAGGACAAAGATATTCTAGAAAAACAGAAGGATGATATACGAAAAGCTAAAGAAGAAATGGAGAAGAAGAGGTATGAGACAGTGACAGAGGAGCTAGAGCACAGAGCTCGACTGCAGAGGGAGAGAGACGAGCTGGAGAGTTTAAGAGTAGAGATACAAAGGGCTAACGACATGGAGAAAGCAAAGCTACTGAAGGAGAAGGAAGAAAGTTTTAAGATAAGAGAAGAAGCCAGACAAGAAAGAGAAATGACAGAACTAATCAAAGCAGAGATCAAGGCTGAAAAAGACAGCTTGAACCGAAGACAAGAGGAGATGCTTAGGGAGAGACAAGAGTTAGAAAGAATTAAACGTGAGACGGACAGAGCCAAAGAGGATATTGAGAACAGCCAAGAAGTCACAATCCGGGAAAATGAGAAAATGGAAAAAATTAAGACTGAAATTCAAGGACAACTTGAAGATACTGAGAAGAAAATTGAGGAGATCCAAAAAACAAAAGAACAAATGGAGGAGACAAAGGCTGAGTTGGAGGAAGAGCGGGAGGAGCTGGAAAGAAAGAGAGAATTGGTGAGAAGAGAGACCAAACAGTGCGAGTTCCTCAGAAGTGAAATCCTCAAGGTGAAGGAGGAAATGGAGAGCAGGTGGCATGAAACAGAGAAAGAGGAAGTCGAACTCAGAGTGAAAACTCAGCATGAACTGGAAAGACTGGAAAAATTAAGGGACGAGGTCCAAAGATCTCAGAAAAACATTGTGGAGAGCAGGATGGAGCTCATGCACTGGAAGGACAGTCTTGAAAAATTGAAGCTTCAGGTAGAAGACGACAAACTTGCCGCTATCAAACAGATGGATGAGGCTAAAGCAAAGAGAGAGGAGTTGACAAAAATGATAGAACAGATGGAGAAAGAGCGAGGAGAGATTAATAACAGCAGAGAAAAGGCTAAAGAAGAAGCAGATGAAATCAAACGCACGAGAAATGAGCTACAAAGACAAAAGGCAGAAATAGATAACAGGATTAGTGTTGCAAAACAAGAAAAAGAGGAGGCAAACCATGCCAAACTTGCAGTCCAAGAGGCTAAGATGCTCTTAAAAAAGCAAATGGAAGAGTCAGAAAAGAGACGGTATGAAACCATAACAGAGGCGTTGGAGCAAAGAGATGAAATACACAAAAAAACAGAGGAGTTAGAACAAATAAATGAAGAGATACAAACAGCCAGACATGAACTAGAAAAATTGAGGCATTCTGAAAAAGAGAACCTGCAGAAAATGCTGGAGGATACACAGCAAGATAAACAGTTTGTTGAGCAAATGAAAATAGCTGTGCTGAAGGACAAGGAAGATCAGGAAAAGCGTTTAGCTGAGATGGACAAGGAGAGAGAGGAGCTCAAACAGATTACAGTTCAGGTCCAGAACGAGAAGAAAGATCTAGAAAAACGAAGGTATGAAATTATGAGATATGATGTAGAACAGAGTGCTCAAGTGCAGAGACAAAGAGAAGAACTTGAGAAGATCAAAACTCAGCTATTTCTGGACACAGAGACCATGGACAGAAGTAGAGAGTTAGCGCAAAAAGATAGAGAGAAAGCTGAACGTCTTATGATTGAGATCCAGGAACAAAGAGAGGAAGTGAATAAAAGGTTAGAGGAGACAAAACGACGAGAGGACACTTTGAGGAAGATGAGAGAGGACATGGAGCACGATAGAGAAGATCTGGAGAAGATCCGTGTGAAAACGCAGAGAGGGAAAGACACATATGAAGAGGTCAAGGATGAGATTAACAGGGTGAGAGCAGAGATAGAGAGGTTGTGGGATGAGGCTGAAAAGGGAGAGCATGAAGAACGTAAGAAGATGAACAGGGAGAAGGGGGAGATGATGAGGAAGATGGAAGCTATGAAGGAGGAGATGGGTGAGATTGAAGACATGAAGATGGAGTTAACAAAACAGAAGAAGGACATTGACGTAAAGATGGAAAAGGCAAGGCTGCAAATGACTAATCTTGAAAAGATGAGAGCAGACCTCCAAAAACAGAAAGAAGACATTGAAATTCAGATGATGGAAGCAAGGAGAGAGAGATATCAGATGAAACTGATGAGGACTGAGATCTTAAAACAAAAAGAGGATGTTGAAAGGAAAATGGAGCTAGCAAAAGCAGAGATGGACAAAATGCAGCTTGTCAAACAGGAAATACAAAGACAAATAGAAGAGCTGGAGGAAAGGATGCAGAAAACCAAACGAGAGATTGGAGAGATGGAGCTGATGAAGAGAGAAATGGAAGGGAAGAAGAAAGAACTTGACCAAAGGATGAAATTGACCATGAGGAAGAAGGACGAGATGGAACGACTGAGGATGGAGATACAAAGGGCAAAAGACGAGATGGAACAGAAAAGAGCGGAGACGGAGAGGCAGAAATATGAAATGGAGCAAGTTAAAGCTGAAATCCAAAGAGCGAGAGAGGAGTTTGAACTTAGGATGGAGGAGAGAGATTCAGAAGACGAGAAAGGACAGATGAACCTCACAATAATCAACCTTATTCAGCAGATTGAGGGGACAAGAGAAATGGTGCGGAAAGCAAAATTCCAGATTGAAAGCCGAATGGCAGGAAGTCAGATGGAGACAACAGACCAAGAGGAGATGAATGCTGAGATGCACAGGCTCATTTTGGAGATTGAACAAATCCGGGAAATGATGCGAGGTCTTAAGGCTGAGGTAGAACACAACAAGGAAATGATGAAGAGAGACAGGGATGAGATGAGGCAATTGAAGAATGAAGCTCAACGAAGGAGAAGAGAGATTGAATACAGGGAAGAAAAGATTATGAGAGAACGGGACGAACTAGAACTCGTGAGAAATATGATGCAGCGGCAAAGAGAAGAACTGGAGAAGAGGCTGGAGGAGACCATTAAAGAGAATGATATGGTGGAGCAGGAGAGAGAAGATGTGAAAAATGCTTTGGAGAACATAGAACAGGCCAAAGAAGAAATAAAGAGACAGAAAGAACACATTTCTCTAGAAAAGACAGGGAAAGAAAAGGTAAGCCATAATTTACTTGCATTTAACATACAGTGGGGCAAAAAAGTATTTAGTCAGCCACCAATTGTGCAAGTTCTCCCACTTAAAAAGATGAG